TAGACTAAGACTTGTCCTGAATATAACCCCTAAACATGCAAAATTACAAAAATACTGTAGCTGTCCAGAAATGTGAAAAAAGCTAGGTTCTGTCCAATAGCAGACTCAACCCCACAAAAAGCATCTTAAGGTGGATGAAGACTCTAGGGTCATCCTAAGTGGATCCACTGCTAACCCAGCTCCCATGGGGGCCCATGTCATTAGAATGATGCCAAATAAGCATAGGAGCAACTTTGGTTCTCTTTTGATATGCCTTAAGTTGATTCCCATTAGATTGGACAACACCCTCACTTGGGATCATTTGAAGAAAAGAGGGTATCAAATAGCAAATAGGTGTGTTCTTTGTGAGCTAGAAGCAGGAATTCAGGAGTTTGATAAGTTTTAACGTGGGGGATGGGTCCAGAGTGAGATTTTAGGAAGACAATTAGAGTGGGACTGGGAAGTTGTTGACATTTTCCCAAGATTGTATAGGCTGGCTGATCAACAAGTTTAGATTGCCCACTACTATGAAATCAGAGATGATCAGGTGGTTTGGAGTCCCAAGCTCAGAAGACCCCTGCTTGATCAAGAGGTGGAGTGTATTCTACTGCTGGACAAATGTGTAAATGCTATCATATCGCATGCATAAATAAATGTTGAAAAAGTCAATTACAAAGATAATTAAAATATAGCTGAGAAAAATTTTTTATCAAATATAATGCATTTCTTTGTGTTGTTAATCATTGAGACAACAGATTAATGTAGAACAGTGATGTATAAATATCAAGGGCATTATTTTTGAAGAGTAATGAAGAAAAATTTTATTTAAAATAAAAAGAACAAGTACAATCTGATCAGGTGTCAAGGTGATACACCAATACATCAGTCCAAATTAAAAAGATTCACATTACAAGCTTGAATTCAAAGAAGATCCCAAAAGTTCTCTACTAAGTCTGATATGCTAATTTGCTCAAATTCTTGAAGAGAAAGGACCCAGCTTGTCATATGCTTTCCAACCTAAGCCACAACCACTTCAAAGCTTTTCTCTTTATCCTCAAAAAGCCTCCTGTTCCTCTCGCACCACAGGGACCAACACACTGCAAATGGAATGCAGCTCCAAATAATTTTAGCTTTCTTGCTTCCTCCGAACCTTGGCCAAGCAGAAAATATCTCTGCAGTTGAGGATGCCTGGAAGATGGGAATTCCAAAGAGGAAAGAGTAGTACCTCTATATGAAGTTTGCCAATTTGCAAGAGAAGGACAAGTGAAAAGCAGTTTCCTCTTCCGACTTACATATGTCGCAGTAACTAGCCATGCTGAAACTTCTACTTTTCAGATGTTCTGTTGTGAGAATACTGTCCAATGCAAGGTTCAAAATATCAATACACCAGTAGAGGCGTATCGGGCAGTATCGATAGCTTTTTTTTTTTAGTTTTTTTTTTCAAGTCTGGTTCAGAGGGCCAGTTTAAGGTCCGCCCACCCCCTGAACCGGTTGAAACCCTGATACAGCCTCTGTAGGAGCGTATTGGGAAGCTCCCGATATGATACGTATTGGCCGATACGGCCCGATACGTATCGATACTTTGAACCTTGGTCCAAGGCAACCAGCCAAGCAAAGGCTTCAATTCTCGGAGGGACTGGATTCCCCCACACTCCACTCATTTGATCACTGATCATATCTTTAATGAGAGCCAAGTAAAAAGACTTCACCAAGAACTTTCCATTCCTGCACTCCTTCCACAACAAACCATCTTCATTAGCCATAGAAATTTTGGTTTGTTCTAGCTTGTCCAGCAGTAGAATACACTCCTCCACCTCTTGATCAAGCAGGGGTCTTCTGAACTTGGGACTCCAAACCACCTGATCACCTCTGATTTCATAACAGTGGGCAATCAAAACCTGTTGATCAGCCAGCCTATACAATCTTGGGAAAATATCAACAACTTCCCAGTCCCACTCTAATCGTCTTCCTAAAATCTCACTCTGGACCCATCCCCCACATTAAAACTTACCAAACCCCTGAAGTTCTGGTTAAATTTCATTATACCCTTCCGAACATTCACCCAATAGGAGTTTGAAACCTCCCTTGATTTCCACCCAAACCTCACTACCCCATACTTCCCTACCACCACTTAAAAATGACTCCCTCTCCCTCTCCAGCCAAAGCTAAAAATTTTTCTAGGCACCCAAGGCGACAACCCCGCCCCAAGAACCAAAAAAAGGATCCCCAAATACACCTTGTGTAGCAGCACTTGACCAACAAATGCAAAATGCTTCCTGCTTCTAGCTCACAAAGAGCACACCTATTTCCTATTTGATACCCTCTTCTCTTCAAATGATCCTAAGTGAGGGTGTTGTCCAATCTAATGGGAATCAACTTAAGGTGTATCAAAAGAGAACCAAAGTTGCTCCTATGTTTATTTGGCATCATTATAATGACATGGGCCCCCATGGGAGTTGGGATAGCAGTGGATCCACTTAGGATGACCCTAGAGTCTTCAATCCACCTTAAGATGCTTTTTGTGGGGTTGAATCTTCTATTGGACAGAACCTATTTGGCTTTTTCACATTTCTGGACAACTACAATATTTTTTTAATTTTGCATGTTTAGGGGTTATATTCAGGACAAGTCTTAGTCTAGTAATTTCGCTTTGTTTGACTTTATGTTTGTAATTGTTTGGGGTAGGTTTTCTCTAACCTAACTTCTTTTTGGCAAGCTAACTTGGGGGGGGGGGGAAGCTTCTTTGTTTCTCTACAGAATTTGGTGTGATTGCCTAGGATTTTCATCTTATTTCCATCTCTTCTCTTCCTTCTCTGTTGGGTATCAAAACAAGGACCAAAGCTATGACAACTTGTAGTGGAAGGAACTTTAGAGGCAGATTGACTAATGGGCAATGGGGTGATTTCATTTACATGATCATGGAAATAGTTGATGCATTGGAAGCTCAAGTCAAGGAGTTACAACAAGGCTCTCCACAACGACAAGTTAATACTGCAAGTACCAATAGAGAGGCTTCTTCTAGTGCCCCAAGGAATGGTGGGGAACCTATGGATGAAGCTAAAACAAGGAAGGAGAGACTTGAACCTGAACCACAAACCCATGATCCACAAGATTATGGGCATGACTCACCCAAGGAAGATGATTTTGGAAACTACGATGGTGTTGATTTGCACGATAATGATGTAGATGTTTCCCTTGTGAATGTTGTGAGACAAATACATTCTATTCCAAAAAAAGAGGAGGATTGGAGGCAAACTACAATTTTCAAACATTGGTTAGGTGTGGAAATCAAGCTAAAAAGCTTATTATTGATGGTGGTAGCTACATGAATGTGGTGTCTGAATCAACTGTTGAGCGCTTGAAGTTGCCAACGGAACCACATCCTCACCCATACAAAGTTGTTTGGATCAACTACACCTCCCTTCCGGTAACTAAATGATGTTTGGTTTCTTTTTCCATTCATCAATGCTCAGATTCTATTCGGTGTGATGTTATTCCCATGAATGTTATCCACATTTTACTGGGGCGACCTTGGCTATATGATTGGGGATGTATACCATTGTGGAAAGCTAAACACCTATGACTTCATGTTTAATAACCAGCAAGTTATTTTAAGGCCAATGTCAACACTTGTACCACTTGTACATTCACCTCTAGAAGTACACAAGATGTTCTCAGATTTTTTAGATGTAGCACTAGAAGAACTTACTAATGAGTTGCAAGTTGCAACCAATGTGCAACATCTAATATGCTATTGATTCTGTCCCAAGTTCTCAACTTCCCAACTTGCCTGCATATCGCATGAACCTAATAGAACATGTTGAACTCAAAAGGAAAGTTGAAGAGTTATTGTCTAAAGGCTTCATCCAAGAAAGTCTTAGTCCTTGTGCAGTTCCAGCCCTTTTAACACCAAAGAAAGATGGCTCTTGGAATATATGTGTTGATAGACAAGCCATTAATATGATCACCATCAAATATAAGTTTCCTATTCCTAGACTTGATATGCTTCACATGATGGCTGGTGCAACAATCTTTTCCAAGATAGATCTTAAGAGTGGGTACCATCAGATTAGAATTCAACCCAATGACAAATGGAAGACAGCACTCAGGACCAAGGGTGGATTATATGAGTGATTGGTTATGCCCTTTGGTCTCTCTAATGTACCTAGCACTTCTATGCATGTTATGAATTGGGTACTCCAGTGACACACCAGTTTATGATCTAAGTTTGTGAAGACTAGCGTTTCTTGCATCAGCTCCACAAAATTTCCTCCCAGTCCCCATTAAAAAGAAACCTGTCCAAACTAGTGTTTTAGCTTAAGTCATATCAATGTTTCTTGGTATGTCTGGTAATATTATGGGTTGGAGTCAACCTGTTGGGTGATTGGGTTTTCTGTTCAGTGAGGTATTTGACTTTATCATGTCGTTACTAGTGGTATTTCAGGCAACAATGGAGTTCAAACTTGATGGAAAGAATTATTTCGAGTGATCACAATCTATAAATATGTATATCGGGGGATATTGGAAGTTGGGAGAAATTAATTGAATTGGGAAGACAAAAGAACCCAGTGAAGATGACCCATCATATGCGAAGTGAGAGTCAGAAAACCTGATTATCATGTCTTGGTTTCTGAATTCAATGCTTCCACATATCAGTAGGATTTGTGTGTACCTTCAATCTGCTAAAGAGGAGGTTTGAAAATTATTGCATAACATACTCTCAGGAAATTGTTTCACCTTCATTAGAGGGAGAAATCCGTGGAAGAATACTCTACACTCTGAAGAATGTGGGAATGAGGTGAATCATGATCAGCTATTTGACCCAGAATGTATTCCAGACAGTGATCATAATGGCAAAATACATTTAATACTGAATTAACAAGGTTTAAAAAAAAAAAAAAAGAAGAAGAAGAAAAAAAGCGCAATTATCCGGCTCTTATTGGGGGTATTTTCGTCAGACCTGCATTTCCGACGACGAAAATGAAGCTGATATCTATTGGGACTTGGGAGCTCAACCATACCTCGAAGAAACGCCTCGATATTCTTGTTTTCACATTTCGATTGAATTTGCAAGTTGAAGAGAAACCCAACTCGTTCCCCGCAAATGCAAGCGATCTCTGCCTGAGCCCACTCGGCGTAAAATTTGAAATTCCCGCCATTTTAGCAGATCAACGTGAATTTGTTGATTTCATGCGAGGAAACGAATTAGAGCTTTGTTGAAAGAAAGTCTGGAGTTCTCGGTGGGAGATCCAAAAGAAATTCGGGAGCTTGGGATTTGAGAGTTCAGGCACTAATGGGGCTTCGGCTCTGGAGAGGAGCTTTAGGGCTTCTAACGGAGAAAATTAGGCTTTGCATAGGGAGAAGAATTTCGGAATGATGGAGGCGGAGACTCCAAGGTGTCTCTGCTGTCTCCAGTCTCCACAACACTCCGCTCACATGGCGTCGCTTACATTTCAATCGAACCTGTGGCAATGCCGCAATGGTCTCTCAAGTTAAAATCACGGTAATACCCTTATTGTCTGTCAAGTTGCGCTTGCCACCCTTGCAACATGGGAGTCCGAATCACCCGCCAATAAAACATATTCCAACCCTCGATCAACATCATCTCACACCGCACATCTCATGAATAGTGGGTTTCACTTTAATGGTGGATCCCAGTCTCATATGAGATGCGCGGTGAGTGTAAGACCGTGAAGAGGAAGGACGACCATAAAATAGATGGCACGCCGCCGCACGTGAGTGTAAGACCGTGAGGACGGTTAAAGTCGTTAACTAACAACGTATATAAAATTCTGAACACCACTGCCAGTGTCATCACCACCACCAAACTTAGCCGCATGAAGCATCGTAAACTGAACAAAATGGACGGTCATGATTGTCTTAACTTTATCATGCCGGGAGGAGGTCGTGACAGGGGTCCCACATACTCGCAAATTGCAAATAATCTTCTGGTGAGCCTGAGCCATGTTGCGAGTTGAATTCTACCAACAAAATATGTTCCAACCCTCCACCATCTTGATGTAACACGGCACATCTTATCATGAGATTGCGACCCATCGTAAAAGTGAGACCCGCTATGCATAAAACGTGCAATGTGAGATAATGTTACTAGAGCGTTGGAACATGTTTTCTTGGCAAGTGATGCGGATTCAATTAAATGAAGCTCTAAATCTTCTAAAGGACCCACAATTTATAAACTGACTTCCGTTATTAGGGGTGAGCAAAAAAAATTAAAAAATCGAACTAATAGAAATCGAACTAAAATTTTAATTAACCAAACCGATTGGTTCGATTTTGGTTCAATATTTTAAAAAACCAAAGGTCCCAGTTCGATTTCGATTAACCAAAATAGAAAATCAGTAGTTAATCGAATCGATCGGTATACATATATTTATATATATTATATATTTTTTTAATTTTTTATACATTATAAATAAATAAATATGCATTATATATATAAATATATATAATTTATTATTTATTATTTATTATTAAAAATATTATATTATATATATACATCTAGTATTATATATATATATATATATATATATTTCTATAATAAATATTGTAAATAATAAAAAATAAAAAAACTGACGAACCGAACCAATGGCTAACCGAATCAATCAACCAGTTAACTGATCGGCTTCAGTTCGATTTCATTTATCGGTTTTTAGAAGAACGATAACCCCAATTCGACTTCAAAAATTAGCCCACAGTTCGGTTGAGCACCCCTATCCATTACTGACTCGGGAGAGGGTTGTGATTCCCAAGCTGCCGTTTCTCCTTTGTTGCAAGTAAGCCTTTCCCCATCAACTCTCCATTAGCAACATGATAACCAAATCTCAAAGCATATTGAGTAGAGTTGGTACGAATCCACATCATGGCCATTAGTTCTCAGTTGTCTGCTCTAACAAGGATAGCTTGAATTGCTTGAGCTTCCACCCATGAGAAAAGAGTCTCCAAACAATGTTCATTCCATCTAAGAGGGGGACCAATGAGAAGATCACTAACCGAACTCCACTAGCATATGTCTGGTTTCAAAGTGGATTCTAAAATTCTCAAGGGAGAGAACCCATGGATCCTCCCAAATTCAAATGCTCCTCCATCTCCAACCCTTCACATCAACCTAGAATTTAGCAATTCCAAGCCATGGCATATGCTCCTCTAAACCCACGAAGGCACAAAGAATCGAAGCTAGTTCAAGCCTAAAAAAGAGGAACTTGATGTTGTCCAATCCGAGGTGTCCCGAACCAAGACCGTAGTCAGATAATCCTGCCAATTGGCGAAGCCGAGGCGGAAGGAAAAACCGTGCAACAAGATCTGCAACCAAGAAAGAAATCAGAGGCCTGAGGAGTTATTCCTTGGGTAGACACTCCAACGTCAAGTCAATAATGAGAGATGGATGGTCGGGCTGAGTAGTTGAGAAAAGTGTTGGTCTGAGCAGAAGTAGAGTAACGGTACAAAGGCTAAAGAGTCAAAAGTCCTTTACCTTGAGCAGAGGTTACCTATTTATAGTTGAAGATCCGTGTTTGATTCGGATGAGGCTTTCGGGGGTTGTTAGGATGAGGTTGTTCGCTGAGGTCTTTGAGATAAGTCCTAATCCTCGAGAGGCTTGTCCTCCTTATCCATACGGGGATCCTCTTCTTAGTTGCACTTATCCATCCTACGTAGTGTCAATGTGGCTGAAGAAATAAGATGGCCACGAAGGTTGCCACATGGCACACGGGGCCAGCTCAACCATAACCCAAACAACACTCCCCTAGTTCTGAAGTCGAGGAATGTAGTGCTCAACCGCGGTGTGGCATAGAAGAGCTCTTCGGTTCTCGGCTAAGGAACTTGAACTTTGGCTAAGCACGCTTTTCTGGGTTGAGTGGCTCGAGGTAAACCAATTTCTTGGGTGAATTGGCCGGTTTGACACCCATACCATTTCCGAGATGGGTCAGTAGGGTGTCGTTTCTTTTCCTCAAGGCTACATGTGTGTGAGGGGCAAAGGCATCATTTCATCTTCCCTAACTATCAGAGTGTGGTGTTTGATCAACGTTGTTGATTTTCCTTGATCTGGGCCATTGGGAGTCCTATAAAAGGGAAGTGAAGAGCATTTCTACTTTGTCATTTGCGAAGAGGGTTCTCTGGAGCTCGGCAAGAAGTAGTCCTCAGCTCAACTAGTGTTTCGATTTTCCGCAATCTCTAACTTCACTTCGGTAAGATGTCTTCTTCTTCGTCCTTTGACTCCTCTTGTTCATCTTCCTCTTCTTTTAGTTTTGGTAGCGAGTCCGAGTCAAGGTCTCTTGTTGAGGCCACCACACTTGCTATTCGTGAGGCCGATGGCGCAATCTCTAACTTCAATTCGGTAAGATGTCTTCTTCTTCATCTTTTGACTCCTCTTGTTCATCTTCCTCTTCTTTTAGTTTTGGTAGTGAGTCCGAGTCAAGTTCTCTTGTTGAGACCACCATGCTTGCTATTTGTGAGGCCGATGGCCAGGGGCCAAGGTCGACGAACTTGGGGTTGAGGCCGCAGAGTTGGAGGAGGCCGCGGTCTAGGGGGCCAAAGCCGATGAGGTCGAGGTCGAAGTAGTGATTGAGGAGGGGGTCGACCTTCCTCTATGGTCCAGCAGCCGGTTTAGGTCTCCTCTATGCTGCTTGACTCCTGGGGACTTGGCCCGAATCAGGGCCTTGTACTGTATACCTGAGGAGTATGAGTTAAGGTGCCCGGGTGCTGGTGAGAGAGCGACCTCAGCTCGGCCAGGAGAGTTTTGCATTTACGAGCACAACTTGATGGTCGGGTTGAGGTTTCCTTTAAGTGAGGGAATCATCGTGGTGTTGAGGTGGTTCCGCGTCTAGCCCATCCAGTTGATGTCGAACTCTTTTAGGTACTTAGTGGGTCTCTTGTGTTACTGTTCGGTCCATGGTTTGGAAGTCACCCTGCCGATGTTTGTCTACTTTCTGCAACTAAAGAAGCACCTGAAGGGGTACTACTACTTCTTGGTTCGACATCATAACAAGGTGTTTGTTGGGGCTCTGTCTTCGGTGAAGCACTGGAAGGAGAGGTTCTTCTTCGTGTGCTACCCTAGAGGCTGGTCGTTCCCCGCTGAGCTTCAAAAGTCGAGGGCCAAGATGAAGGCGCCAACTGCAGCTGAACATACCAAGGAGGAGAAGGTGTCCATTAGGCAGATAGAGAGGATAGACGTGCTGGAGTGCACATTGTTCTCAATGTTAATCCGTGCTAGAATGATGAGTGAGACGGCTGGTTTGTGTGTTCTACTGGGCTCTTTTTCATTTCTGAACTCTTTACTTGGTATTGATTTGATGATGGTTTGTGCAAGTACTGAGATGGCTAGCGTTGATGAGATGGCTCGGCGCATAAGGGCCGTGGTGGAGAGGTCGCGGTTTACCAAGGCTTAGGGGGCACAATCGCGAGCCACCGAGCCACAATCAAGATCGACGGAGCCCACGCCTCAACAGTCAAAGAGGTGGTGGTCAACCCAAAGAAGGGAACGCAGTTCGATCACCTGTCACCACCAAGGGACAGCATGCTAGAGAGTGGCATGGCCGATGTATATGTGTCGTAGTGGAGAGTCCGACCAAGTGACGAGCCCGAGACGAAGGGCATCCCCGAACAGATCATTCGGGGTCTGTAGTGCCTATCATCGAAAGGAGATTGCTGGCTTGACCAGCGGTTCCCTAGAGAGTGTGGCTCTACGGCAGGCTGCAGTGGTAAGTCCTTTATTCTATCTCTTCGGTCGTTTCACTTCAGTTAGTCACTATTGCTATTGTACTAACAGTGTGGCTCTACGGTAGGCTGCAGTGGTAAGTCCTTTATTCTATCTCTTCGGTCGTTTCACTTCAGTTAGTCACTATTGCTATTGTACTAACAGTTGATTTTCTTGCAGAATGCTTGCCTGGTCGTCGGCCTAGTTGACTGTCTTCGAACACTAAGGCGTCTTTACGAGGCGTGGGAGGCTGAGGAGCAAAATGACACTGTCCGCAAGCTCAAGGGCCACGTCACCGAGCTAAAGGAGGTGTAAGACGCGCTAAGGAGAGAGATCAGGGAGGACAAGGAGAAGATAGCCTAGGCGGAGGAGGAAGGAGTTACCAAGTATAAGGCCTCAGAGGCCTATTAGAATGACTTGGACGACTTTTCCACTCGTTCTTTGGAGCAGGGGTTTAACTTCTGTTGGCAGAGGACTATGCGCCACTTCCCCGAGGTAGTCAAAGTCATGCAAGGTCTGGGCCCAATTGATCCCCTTACGCCAAGCGAGGAGAGTATTGCCATCGAGGTCCCTAAGTCAGCCGAGGAGCGTCGGCCGAAGATTGAAGTGTCTCATTCTATGTTGCTACCTTTTCTGTTCTATTCCTTTTTTTTGCTTGTAATGTATGCGGCTCGGTATACCAAGCCTTCTCACTTGTAAATAATTTTGATTAATGAAAAAAATTTTTGGTCCTGAGCTATGTGTTTCTCTTCCCTTTTTTTTTTGCTTAACTTGGTGAATGAATT